TCATCTAGGTTACGAAAGTGACATGGCTCTTGGGGTGGGGACGCAGCAAAAAATGTTCATTCTTCAAAACTCCCCTCTCCACAGCCAGGAAGAGGATGGTGCGGAGGGAAGCCCAGCCATGACTCACAGCTAATCCCTGGCAAATCTATCTCCATGGAAACCGCCAATCATCCATGCTTTTCATAGCTCAACCAAACATCTGCCAGGGGGAAAGCAAGTGGTAAGAATCGTTCACCCTGCCTCCATGTTTACTTTGGGGCCCTAGTAAACAGAGCCAGGGGAGAGTAGCCTGGCCCCTCTCTGCTTCCTAATTAGCTGTATGGTCTTCATCGGGTCCTTCCCAAGCCTTTATGCACCCTTTCTTCCACAGCCAGGGAAACAAACTCTGATCAGAGGTTCTCAGCCTGATTGAGAGCTGCCATGGAGCGGAGACTCAGAAAAGCCAGGATCTAAGTTGGCACAGAGAAGCCTGTGTGGCAGACACTCTGTTCAGTGTGATAATTTTACATGTGGACTGTTACAAAATAATGCTTTCATAAAGCACAAGAGGTAAAAGTGATTTAAAAGACGGTCAAGGAGTCTGGGATGTATCTTAATGGTAGAGTACTCAGTTAGCATATGGCAGGCCATAGGTTCTGTTCCTAGAGACACACACACACACACACACACACACACACACACACACACATGAAAGAAAAGGGGGCAAGTTGAGTGGCTGGCCTGGCAACTGATCTCACGTTAATCCAGCTCGGCTCTCCCTGCCCAGTGGCATCCCCAAGCCACCACTGATTCTCATCTGGAGAGGAGGCTCACCACCATGCCACTAAGACCAGGCACTGCTCCCCTATTATAGTCACCAACTAGGAGAGCATCAGGACCATGCTCTAAAAACAGCCTCCTGGGGACCCAGTGACATTCTGGGAGAACAGCAGCATGAGCAGCCACGGAGAGGCGAGCTGCTACCTGGCCTCTCTGGGTCAGAGTCTTCACCTGGTGAGAACTCCCTGCCAGGCCCAGGAAACTCATGGAACCCCTTGTCTGTGTGCTCATTAGTGTCTTGGAGGGGCGGGGCAGGAGGGACCGGTGAACAGTTTTAAATGTTAATCCTTTTTTTTTCCTTCCCTCTTCCCTCATTCTTTTTCTGTCCATTCAAGAGGAAGCTCAGCTAGATTTGATTGATGGCTTTGGGGAAGACGTGCAGAATTCGCCCAACTATTGTTCAGGTTTGTTTCTCCACAGCCTGGGTCCTTATGACGCTTCACAGATTCAAAGCAGTGGAAGAGAATCGGGCAGATGGCTGGTGACAGCATGGGGAACCAGAACAGGAACTACATCATTCGTGGGGACCAATCAAATAAAATTACAGGGGTCCCTTGTTCAAAACTGATGAAGAATTTTAGCAAAAGCAAAACATAATGCCAAGGGAAGGCCCTTCTCTGAGTGGGAGCAGATGAGCCTGGGCAGGAGAACTCCCCATCCCATTCACAAAGAAGACTGGCCATAGGGTTAGGAGTAGGAAAAGGCAGGCCCACAGGATCTGAGACTATAAGGACCCCGGCTGGGCCCACGCCCTGGCAGTAGTGGTAGGACCCAAGAGAACCAAGGGTCTGGGAAATGCTTAGGCCCTAAATGCAGAGCTCTCAAATTCAGCAGGTTTCTTATCTCCCAAGGCAGCTTGAAGGCAGTAGAAAGATGAAGGCCCTGCACAGAGGACCTGGGAAGACCTGGGTCTGTACACAGATGCACTGGTTAGAGCCCCAAAAACTAGAACTGATGGGACCATGGCGGTACTGGGTAGTGGCGTCCTGAATGACCGACACTGGTTTTAAGTTATACGGGTAGGAATGAGTCTTAAGTCATTCTGCTGGGTGCAAGCTTGAGTCAGAGATAGATTCTCTTATTGTTTCAGAAAATGAAAGAGATATATTGTTCTGCCCAATCTGAACCTACTCAGGCCCAGTTTCAGGCTCATTTCCAAGGTTGGGACGGGGTGGGGGTGGGGGTGGGCAATGATCACATCGAGGGGTGTGTCTCAGAACAGGGTGGCCAGGGGGTAGAGGTGAGAGGAACTGAAGAGAACCCAGTGCTATCTGGGAGGTAAACTTCTCAGACTTGCAGAATTCTAGGAGGAAGATGGGAGGAGCAGGGCTAGCATCCCAGATGTTATACAGGCCACTGAAGAAATTAAGGGATGTGCTGAAGAGAAGCCTGGGCTAGTGGGGTGAATGTGGGAGTCCTCAGCTTTGTGGGTGATCACTAATTAAGGGGATTGGGAAAGATTAAGGAAACAGGGCTGGGGAAATGGTTCCATTGGTAAAGTGCTCGCTGTGTAAGCGGAGGACCTGACGCAATCCCTAAAATCCGTGTGACAAAGCCCGGTGTGGTCCATGTGCTTGTCGTCCCAGTACTGGAGAGTCAGGGGCAAGCAGGTCCTTGGAATTCACTGGCCAGCCAGCCTGGCCAACTTGGCAAGTTCTAAGCTGGCAAGAGACCTTGTCTTAGCAACCAAGGTGGCTGGAACCTGGGGAGTAACACTGAGGTTGTCCTCAGCCTCCATTCATACACATGCACTCGCAAACAAAAATAAAGGAAAGAAGAGAAGGGCTAGGCAAAGCTTGAGAAAGCCACACGCTGACCAGCAGACACAGAGAAGCAGGTGACAGCAGACACAGAGAAGCAGGTGACAGCAGACACAGAGAAGCAGGTGACAGCAGACACACAGAAGCAGGTGACAGCGGACACAGAGAAGCAGGTGAGTGACAGCAGACACAGAGAAGCAGGTGACAGCAGACACAGAGAAGCAGGTGACAGCAGACACAGAGAAGCAGGTGACAGCAGACACAGAGAAGCAGGTGACAGCGGACACAGAGAAGCAGGTGACAGTGGACACAGAGAAGCAGGTGAGTGACAGCGGACACAGAGAAGCAGGTGACAGCAGACACAGAGAAGCAGGTAAGTGACAGCAGACACAGAGAAGCAGGTGACAGCAGACACACAGAAGCAGGTGACAGCAGACACACAGAAGCAGGTGACAGCGGACACAGAGAAGCAGGTGACAGCAGACACACAGAAGCAGGTGACAGCAGACACACAGAAGCAGGTGACAGCGGACACACAGAAGCAGGTGACAGCGGACACAGAGAAGCAGGTGACAGAGGACACAGAGAAGCAGGTGACAGCAGACACAGAGAAGCAGGTGACAGCAGGGTAGGGAGGCACTGCTGGTGTGTGACAGGCATTCAAATGGAAAGGGAAGCAGTGGCTGCTGGGAGGTCAAACAAAGCAGGAAATCAGACATGCTCACTGCTTAGTACCACGGAAGTCACCCATGACCTGAAGGATCCCTTTCATTTGGGGAGACACTCAGTAGAGTGTGGCAGAGGTGAGAGGGACACAGCAGGAAATACAGATAGAAGCCACCTCACCTTGGGCCTTTACCAGAGAAGAGGGTGGGGTTGGGCAAGATGGTTAAGGTTAAGTGTTCCTTTCATCTAAGCAGCTTTATTCAAGCATAACTCAGACTCAGTAAACTGCATGTTTTCAAGGAGACAGTCAGATACACCATGAAGCTACCAGCATAACCCAGAACATATTCTTCATCCTGAAGTGTCCTGTGCCCAGCAGGCCTCTCCCTCTAATCCCCTCACCTCCATCCCCAGGCATCCTCCTGCTGTCTGCAAACTAAAGCCTGCTTCTTCTATAATGTTACACAATTAGGGTTTATGTGATTTTGCTTTTCTAATGTTTTGCATCTTTTTCTGTCTGACTTGCTCAGCATAGTTATGCTCAGGCTCATATATATTTGTTGCACATATCAAAGACTGCTCTTCCTGCTGTGTGGCTACACCACAACTTTTCTAATCACCTGTTGATGAGCAGTCCACTGGGGACTGTGCAAATTAAGCTGCTCTGAATATTTTAAGTATTTATTTTGTGTGTGTGTGTGTGTATGTGTGTGCACTGAGTGCAGTGCCTGTAGAGATCGGAAGAGGGCATCTGACCCCCTGGAATTGGGGTTACGGGCAGTTGTGAGCCATGTAGGAGCTGGGAGCCAAACTCTCATCTTTTTTGTAAGAGCAGTAGGTGCTCCTAACCACTGAGCCATCTCTAGCCCACATTAAGTTGCTTTGAGTTTTCACGTACAAGTCTTCACTTGCTTCCAAATAATTAGAGGTAGAGCAGCTGGGTATATGGAATTTTTAAGAAACAGTCCAACTTTTCTAAAGTGGTGACCATTTTGCGTTACCATCAGTAAGACAGGTGAGTATGGATTCTGCACATCTCTCTAACATCTCTTTCATGCTAGATATCACAGGAGCTTCTCCTTTGACCACCCTTTGCCTACCTGGAGAAAGGGTACCAAGTAAGGACGTGGCATGAGCACGTAGGAAGCAGAGGACAGGAGACAGCTGGCTCCAGATCAGCGACAGAGATACTTTTCTGGTCTGTGCTCTGGAGACAGCCCTGCCCTGAGCATTTCCCATGGGCCGCTTGTCACATGTTCGCTTCTTGCCTTCTAGGCCAGGGATCCACACAAGGCAGGAGTTCTTCTATTGTCTCCTCTACAGCCTTGCAGAGCAGAAAGCAGGGAAGGCAGGATAAGCAGGTACACTCCCTGCCTAGGGGCCTTATTTCTCTGATCCCTGGGGCACAGGGCGGGGGCACAGTCCAAACTCATTCTAGAAATAAGAGAGGCAGTTTGTTCCACTGAGGAATCCATCCTGTCCTGCCCGAAGAGAAATAAGGTCCTCCTACTAATTTGGTCAAGATATGTAACTTGTATAAAGGAGTGAAGACTGTTGAAATCAGGCGGAGGCCTCCAGAAATTAGGAGCAGGCAAATCCATTGTGAAAATAATGGACTTTTAGTCAGTGCTAACACCATCGCCAAAGTCAGCCACACACTCCAAGAGAGAATGCAGGCGGACCGTGATGCCAAGCTTGGGGAATCAAGCATTTACACCCCTATGGCAAGAGTAAGAAAGAGCCAAGAGCACCTACCTGTAGCTGCTGGGAAGAACACCCCAAACACAGTAAAGAAAGACTCCCCGGGGCTGTACTCGGGCAGAGTGTTGCTCTCTAGCAGTTCTGGGGAGTATCCAACAAAACCATGTTCTGAAATGACACGAAGGATTCAGACAGAGCTGAGTGGTCAGGTACCGTACAGTGCCCAAGAAGATAGTATTGTTTTAGCATGGTAAATATTTCTTTCTTTCTTTCTTTCTTTCTGAGATAGTGACACACTCTGTAGCCCACGCCGGCCTAGAACATACCGTGTAGTCTGGGCTAGCCCCAAATTTACTGTGATTCTCCTGCCTCAGCCTCCTGAGTTGCTGGGATTGTAGGCATAAGCCACCATGGTCGGGTGCAGGTATGTCATGCTGAACACTCAAAGGCAGGGTGTGTGCAACAGAGAGAGAGAGACTTGGAAGACTGCCTTGTGTATCTGTACCTACAGCTATAAAGGGATGGCATGGCATGGAGAGCAGTGGTTAGCTCAGGGGAGGGAAGATTTCATCTTTGCTTTATAGATTTCGGAATAGCGACAGCATCTTTCAATGAGGGTATATTTATGTGATTGCTTTCCATAAAAACAAATACCTGCTTGAAATCCTCCCATTGGGTTCCTGGGAGCCAAAGAATCAAGTCCAGACTCCTTACATTGAACATCAAAGTCCCCCACAACCTGGAAACGGTCTGCCATGTCCCCTTCACCCTTTACCTCTCCTGTGTGCCCAGCGGGGTCATGTTCCCTGCCCTACTACCCCTCTCTCCAAGAAGCAATATTATGATCACTTTTTCACATTTTTTGGTGGGGTTGAAGCCAGGAACCCATGCATGCTAATCAGTCTATCACATGTCACTAGTTTGTTTTTGTTTTTTTAAATCTTGAGACAGATCTCTCTAAGTTGCTCAAGCTGGCTCTGATCTCATCTGGAGCCCAGTACTGCCATGTCCAAGGCTATCAACTAAGCTTTGTTCCCAGCCTCAACCACAGTCCTTGTTTTAAAAACACTTGTTTCAATTTTATTTATGTGGATTCATCTGTATGTGCCCATGAGGCCAGAAGAAGGTATAGGGTCCCCTGGAGTTAGAGTTACAGGTAGTCGTGAGCCACCTGATGTGGGTGCTGGGAACCAAACTCAGGTCCTCTGTGGCAGCAGTACTTACTCTTAATCACAAGTCGTCTCTCCAGCCCCTCACCCACAGTTCTTGAGGTGAGAAATCCACTCTGGCATACCTCTACTTTCCCTGGCACACAATAGGTAGGTTGTAAATAGGCCTCATTGCCATCTTCTCTTAGATCTCTTAGCACATGGGCACACTACCCTCCCAGGCTTCCTGCTACTCTCGGTTCACAAGCTACTTTGTAACAAAAAACATCTAACATCTGAATTCTTCAAAGTAATTTAAATACCTTTGGCACATTGACCTTAACAAAGCTTCTTAAGTGCCTTCAATCCATTTTGCTTGTCAAAAGAGGTCACTTTGAGCAGCATATGTTGATGTACTAGCAGGCCATGGAATTCCGAGACTCAAGTAGAAAAGATCTTGGCTCAGGGACACCCAGAATATTTGACTTCAGTCTTGTCCCCCAGAACTAGCTAGCATGTGTTTACGAACTGCTGCCCCTCCCCTGCAAAACACACCACAGTTCCCCACAACTTGGGGACAGACACCTCCAGGAGCCTTGCCCCACCCCCATCTACCTCAAAGCTCCCCCTATAAAGAGAGCTCCCTGGTCTCTGATGGCTCCCAGGAGGCCATGCACTTCCTCAGCTTCCAAGAGTCATAACTTCATAGGAAAAATATTCTTCAAGAAAATAACAACGTGGACGCTCAGAGAAGCACAGAGAGCCTCGGGGAGTCCAGTCTGGACTTTGAAATCATTGTCCGTTGCTTTCTCTTGGCTGAATACAGACTTTGTTCTGGAATATTAAATCCCAAGTACCGCACCAGGTTTCTGAATGGCTTGGCCTCCTTGCAGCTGGTCCTCCCGTCATCAACAAAAAGCAATAGCAAGCTAAGTTAACTTCAGCTTATCCGCTGGCTGACCCCATTGACTAGTCTTCCTGAGGAGAAAACCAGGCAGCCTGCCTTGGAGCTCAGTTCAGCAGGCTGGATGACGGTCATCTGCTCCAGAGCTGTGCATCCTGAGCAGGCCAGCCCACAGCAGTAAACACCTCTCCATACTGTTCACCTCCACAGCCTCAAAGGAGGTGACAGGAAAGGTTTTGTCCCCTGGCCTGAGGGCTTTGCCTGGTCAGCCTGCAGGCTCTAAGGCATTTTAGTCCCTTGGTGGTGTCAGTGGGAAAATCTTCTCACCTCTCCCCTTCACAATATCTATGGGGCAGGAGGAAGCCTCAGATGCTGCCTCTCTTGGGGCCAATGACACATCCATAAGCACACACTCATAGTGACACACTTAGAAGCATACACTAACACACAACTCCCCAACACAGACATTGACACGCTCACAAGTATACGTTACATCTGCATACACACATGCACAAGTACATACTCATACCTACACATAAGGATATTTCCCAAGTGCACATTCTCACTGGCCCATTCACATATACACCTACACGTGCACATGAGCATGCATAGGCACACTCGCACAACACACCCACAAACACAAGCACTGGTACACACTCACACTGACACACTCAAAATCCTGCTACCCTGACCCTCTGCTCTGGGCTAAATCTAGTTCTTAGTCTTCCTTGGGGAAATAATCTTACCTTTGAAAAGAACTCAATGAACAAAGATAATTGTCAATGTTTTTTACAAACATGTAACTCCAGGAAGCTGAGACACAGGATTAAAAATTCAAGGGTTGCCGGACGTTGGTGGCGCATGCCTTTAATCCCAGTTCTCAGGAAGCAGAGGCACGTGGATCTCTGTGAGTTCGAGGCCAGCCTGGTCTACAGAGTGAGTTCCAGGACAGCCTCCAAAACCATACAGAGAAACCCTGTCTTGGAAAAAAAAATTCAAGGGTTACAGAATGAAACCATGTCTCAACATAAAAACAAACAAACAAACAAATAACTGTGGGCTGAGCATAGAGATCAGTATTATACTCTTGCCCAGCATGCATGAGGACAGGCATCAGAGCCAAACACCATAGTACTTGGTAGCATAGAAAACTGACGTGCTGTGGTGGTTTGAAAGAAAATGGCCCCCACAGGAGGGGCACTACTAGGAGGTATGGTCTTGTTGGAGGAAGTGTGTCACTGTGGGGGCAGACTTTGAGGTCTTTTTCTCAAGCTTCACTCAGTGTGACAGTCAGGTGACTTCCTGTTGCCTGCAAGATGTAGGTCTCTCGGCTCCAGCACCCTGTCTGCCTGCCCACCACCATGCTCTCCATCATGATGATAATGGACTGAACCTCTGAACTGTAAGCCAGCCCCCTCAATTAAATGGGTTTTTTTTTGTTTGTTTATAAGCATTGCCGTGGTCATGGTGCCTCCTCACAAATAGTAAACCCTAACTAAGACACATGCCATAATGGTTTCTATCATGCTAATTTAAATAAAACTTCCCATGTTATAAATACTAAAAATAAATTTATACATACATATAAGAAATATCTATGCCAGGCCTAGTGGTACACACCTTTAATCCTAGTACTCAGGAGGTAGGGGCAGGTGGATCACTGAGTTTGAGGCCAGCCTGGTCTACAGAGAGAGTTCCAAGACAGCCAGTGCTATACAGAGAAACACTGTTTCAAAAACCCAATATATATATATATGGAAACATCCAAATGCTGTGGTTGTCTATACAAATAATTATAGCAATTCTCATTCTCTCTGTCCTTCCCATTTTCCTTGAGGTCTCTCTCTCTTTCTCCCTCCTCCCCTCCCTTTCTTCCTTAGTCTGTCTTTTCCTTCCCCAAATAGATTTCATTATATAGCTTAGGGTGGCCTGGAATTCCACATCTATCTGTCCCAGCCTCCCCGGTGCTCAGAACACTGGCACTCACCATTGTATCCAGTGATTCTTTTTGTTCAAAAATGTCCCATAACATTTCCACACTTTAAAAAATAAGAGTAACCTACTTATCAAAACCCTGGATCTTTTAGGAAATAAATGATCCCCGTGAAGGCCGAGTGTCTGCTGGGACAGCCCAGACATGCCACCTTCTTTCTTTCCTTGTTCACCACACATCCGTGTCCTGCTTCTCAGAACGATCTGAGATCATAAGCAAGTTAGAACAAACAGCATTTAAAAAGGAGGGGCTCCATAGGCTTGGAAGTGGATCCGCAGCAATGTCCTAGAGACTAGAATTCGGGGCCTAAGGAGATGAACTGAGATTTCTTTGACTAAGCCCACAGGGGCAGGACACTAGGCCCGGTGGCTTGGCCCCCATATAGGCCGCTGTCTCTCATATGAGAAGGAATGTCTGGGGCTGGCCTCATTTCCCACACCCCCATCTCCCAGGCCTTTGTGACTCTTGCCCATGCTAGTCCCCCTCCTTTTTCTCCTACGGCTCCAAATCCTGGGCCAGCTGCTCCAGAGGCTGCCACACTGCCTCCCTCGCAGAGAGATGCTGGTGACACGGACTCCTCTTCAGTTCAGAAGCCGGTGTCTCCTTCACCTGGGAAAGACAGGCAGATCCTGTGCAGCACCGCAGGTCAGAGACACCTAGGGGACTGGGGGCTGACAGAGGTACAGCTGGGAGCATGCGCAATGCTGTTGGGAGCATGCGCAATGCTGTTGGGACTCCAGGTCTGCTTGCATCGGTTCCCACATCACTATGTTGTCTCTCTGTACTTTACCCTAGGGAGCTTTGGGGCTCTGTTTTGCAGGACTAGAGTGCTAGGCAAGTACCCTAGTCTTGAGCTACAGCTCCAGCCTAAACATGCTTCCTGAAGCCCAAATGTCATTTGCTTGCTGCAAAAACTGGGTCCTGTCAGCTGTGTCTCCAACCCCGAAGGGCCTGGGATGCTGAGGACCTGCAACTGCTGTGTGTGAATGCGTCTGGGCTTGACCTGAACATCTGCTTCTGTATCCACTGAGTAAAAATACTCTGGGCCCCCTGAGCTGTGTACTTTTTAGGAAAACCAAAAACAGAAAGCGCAGGGGAAGAGAGAACAAATCGTCACAAGCTC